GGTCCCTCGGTTCTGAATTCTATAAATTTCTTAGATTTGGGATTCACACGAAGAACTTTGCGCTGAAAATTCAAAATTCAAGAGAGAAACCCTGGAAGGTCTGAAAAAAATGCTTCTATAGGTTATCGACGATGCTCTATCCAATGGAATGGTTTTTCAGTTTAAGAACGTTCTTCTAAGGGTTTCCCACAAATCCGGTCTCTGGAAAACCCACTGGAAAACTTTGTCGAAACTGGAAAACCATTCCATTGGAAAGAGAATCGTCGAAAACCTATAGAAAGTGGTTCAGATAATTTCAGTCCATTTATAAAGTTAATGTCCGCCTACTCTAGGGAAAAATGCCCGCTGTGTGATTACAGCTTGCTGAGCGTGGACGAATAGCAGGAATTGCAATATTAGATGCTGTTGAAAATTCGCAGCGTTTTACGAATTCGAAAACACAACTGGTTGAGGAGTCAGCTAATTCGCAAATGCATTTGGCTATGGACGCAGGAATTCCCAGAAAGCGTGTTAATCAAATTGTTATCCCATATTAGAGCTATGCTGACTATCAAAACTTAAAATCCTTTCATCCTTATGAGGAAAAATCTGCAAACTGCTTGCTCATTGCACTTCGCAAGCAATTCGTATGCAAAAGCTGAGAATTTGAAACTTCGTTGCTGTTAAAGTAGACCCAAAGGGAAAAGATCTTTCGATTACATACATTCTTACGTTTTTTCGAAGAACTGACAACTATTCACAGAGTTATTCATTAATTAAGTTTAAATTTTAATTAAAATTTAAAATCCTAGTCCTCATTTTATACAACTTGTAGCTCAGTCAAAAATTATCGCATGAAAGTCATGTATGCAGTGCTTGATAGCAAATGGTCTGTTGTTATGGTTTGATGAAAACAGTTTTAAAAAACGTTTTTAAGACACTGATTTATGGACGAGGATTTTTCTGTGCACGGTTTTTTCCGGAATTATGCACGGTTTGCTGTTTTCCGTGAAATAAAAAATCTTTTGACATTTTTGTGCACGGTTACAGAAAGGTGCACGGAAAAAGGCAGAAATGTGCACTGAGACGTCTCTGTGCACGCTTTTTGAAGAACGAGCTATACCCTGTTGTTTGATTATTAAATTTTGTTTATCCAAAAAAGTATAGCATGTATCTATTTACAAATAAAAATCCTCTTTTAGTATTCTCACCAAATTTATGATTGACTTAATGCTTTTCCTGCCTTTTTTGGGCGTCCGCGCCGTTTTCCTAACACTTGTAATTTAGCTGGATCAGCTATAACATAAAGATTAAGGTGGATCATAAATCCTGCTGCATGTTTACAAACATATAGTTTAAGGTTTTGTTTACATGAACACATCATTGGCATACTAACAAGTCGCGCAGAGTACAACCACCTAGTAAATTCATCAAATGTTAACCAAGGTATAAAATGATACTGTTGTAGCCATGTATATGCGTCCATTTGTGTAAAGGATGATGGTACAATTTAACATTGTCCATAGCAATGAAATATAGAATTTTTATCAATATTTTGTAACCATTGCCAAGCTTCTCGTTCTTGTGAAACAGTAACTGTTGGAAATGTTGCAAATCCAATTTGAACAGATTTATTTGACCATTCCATTAACATTTGCTCTGTTGTTGGTAAAAATACTGATAATGATAATTTATTTCTTAACGTATATTGACTTTGTATTTTACGGCCATTTTGCGACGCGTTTTTCTTCATAAAGACAAACTCCTATCACAATTCTAGGTAGTGCATTGGAATCAGCGCAGTTTAGTCTA